CTATAATGTTATATCATTTACATCTTCCTTCAACAGGGGCACATTAAGCTTGCTGATTTTGGTTTGTGTACTGGCTTAAAAAAGGCACACAGAACAGAGTTCTACAGAGAAATTTGTCCTTCAGACATCAAAGATTTTGGTAAGAAACAATCCGATGCAATGTGCAATGTGGAGTTTCTTGAGTAAAATCATGAGTGCTTGAATATGTATGGATTCATTTTTTTTTTGTCACTCAAATAGTTCGTTAGTTAAATAAATGTGAAAATAAAAATGCATGCATGATGTGAATTGTTTGAAGAATCTGGTTGATTGGCTTATGGTTTCCAGTTTATACAGCTTTTAATAGAATGCCTGCATCAACCATTCTGTATTGGGATGTACATGGTTGTATTCGGACTGTAAAGATAATTTGAGATTGATTATTTCATAAGATATTTCGTTATTATTTCTCACAGCAAATGCAGATCCTTTAGACTCAAAAAGAAGAGCAGCCACTTGGAAGAAAAATAGACGACAGCTGGTATGTGCTCCACTATATCACTACCTTAGTGTCTTAAAGTCTCCCCTTTGCCTTCTCTGTAGACCTCAGACCAAGAAAAAACGAAATCTCTGCAGAATGATATACTATAGTCTTTTTATGTTTATAAAAATCTTTTTTTATGTTTATAAAAATCTTTTTTTATGTTTATAAAAATCTTTTTTTCAGGCTTATTCAACAGTTGGTACACCAGACTACATTGCACCTGAGGTTTTCCTACAAGCAGGGTATACTAAGAGTTGTGATTTCTGGTCACTGGGTGTAATAATGTATGAAATGTTAATAGGTAAGTACCATTACCAGGTAATTTACAGGTCTACTACCATTTACCAGGTAATGTCAAATCATGAGAGCTAATGGTGACTTCTTATTTCTTCTATGCTAGGATATCCACCGTTTTGTTCTGAAAGTCCTCAAGGTAATTTCAACTAAAGTTCAGGACATTTAAAATCTTACTTTGTGAGATAGTTAGCATGTTAGTAACCCACATTTATGGCTGATCCAAGCGGGAGGTGCAGAGGATATGCAGACAAGTATAGCTTTGGTGGAACCAGGAATGGTCCTTGGGGTGCGCACTTGAAAATACATGTATATGAGATGATCCCCTAATGGTTCACATCCTGGAAAAAAAACCTCCTGCTTCTGCCCCTGCTAAGACATTATTACTTTCCTGTATTTTGTGCCTCCTTTGTGATGGAAATTGCTACTTGTTTATTACAGAAACATATAAAAAGGTTATGAATTGGAGGGAGACGCTTGTGTTCCCACCAGAGATGCCCATCTCCAAGAATGCGCAGGACTGCATTCAACGGCTTTGTTGTGATGAGGATCATAGACTCAGTACAGTTGAGGAAATAAAAGCACATCCTTTCTTTAAAGGGGTAGATTGGATACATTTGAGGTATATATGATTGTATGATCACATATAATGATAGTGTTGATGATGATGAT